CGCCTCTCTTTATTCGTCCACACCCCCCTCCCCTACCCCCTCACCATCCTATACGTCTCTTCTCGCACGTACTACACACACACACTCATACACACACAGAGGACATACATACACATTTTCTATTCGCATAGTATTCTTTTTCTCTCTGTTTCTTTGTGTCTTCTTCTTATTCCTGTACGAGGCCCGATTTCGATACCTCGTCAACACCGTCAACAGCACGTAACACATCGACGATGTTCTCTGCTAGCATCGTCTTCAGTGCAACGAGAGAGAGAGAGAGATTTGGTGCTGCATTTTTTGTGTCCTCTTTATCTTGATTTTCATCAAGGAGTCGCAATTTCCGCGACATGTTTGACTTTCTCCAATCTTGTTTATGCATGTTTGTATCCATCGTCCAGGAGGAGTTCCCCACATTCGTTTTTCATCTAAATAAGTTTTTCCATTCTTGAACGGCAAACGGGAGGAAAGTTTTCTCTCTTTTTTTCTATTTCTTCCTCTTTCGCAAATACTGATTATCGAACTGTAATGGACGCATTATACTTTTTATTTTATTTTCTTTTTTTTTTTTTAAATAAAATAATACTTTATGGGGGAGAATTTAGAGTATTCATCGAAATCATTATCATTCGAGGAACAATTTGGGAAGTTATATAATATATATATATATATATTTGTATATTGGTATATATTTGTTGAAATGAGACAGTGTAATTTCCGTCACGATTTCAAAACAACCTATACCTTCGAACGAACGGCTACGAATAATCATTATATTGTACCTGCTCGAAATTCGATTTATCGAAGCAATGTTCCCATGAACATTAGCTGGATGGACGTCTGGAGATGTTCTATGATCAAATATTGATACTACGTTAGACCAAATCGTTCCACTATGCCAACAGATTAGAACGTACGTGCACAATGCCCGTGAGTCGTATTGAGAATGTATATACATACCCACTTCGAATATATGAACGCAACTTATGAAAGAGTCGTCAAACTATTTTCGGTAGACTCGAGAAATGTTTAAAATTAGCAAGAATCATCCTAATACTACTACCACCTACCTGACGTCTATTTATTGAGAAATCTATTTTCTAATTCAATTTCTCAATTTATTTGTTTTAGTTAGGAGAATAGTAAAATACATATAGGTATAACAAAAATATTACAGAAATAATTTTATTCTAATAAAACACCATGAATATATACAAAAAGTCTAAGAATTAGATTGAGTCATAATATGAATTATTCCCATACTTATTAAATAATGTTGATTTAGGCTGTCTTAATTTAACATTTATAAGTCGTCGTTCCTCGAAATCAACAAAAGAGGTTTTTAAAATACTAATTGCAGTTGCAACATCTGGATTCTGAAAGGAAACATATGTGACCGGCCATTTTTACAGTCCCCATATTCTGATCCGCGGTAAATACGAATACCTGGGACGGTAAATACGTCTGCTGACGTGACACGTGTGCTCGACGCGGCCGCAGTAAGAGACGGGGAAAGAGGGAGAAAGAGGGAGAGAGAGAGAGAGAGAGAGAGAGAGAGAAACAGAGAAAGAGAGAGAGAGAAAGCAAGAGACTGGTTGTTCTTCCGAGGAACGTTGCATTACGCCATATTGGCACCAGTTCGTGCTTATTCGTACGGGAATATTCAGACAAATAGATGGTCGAATATGTATGTATATTCATTGTAATCTCAACAACACAATGTCTCTTAAAAATAAGAGAGAAAACATTGGAAATAAAACGTTGAATACTCAAGTTCTCTCGATGCGAGAAATGGACAAAAGTGCGGTAAGGAAAATTACGAGGACGACGAGGACGACGACGAAACAACGAGGAGATAAAGTGTCAGTCATTTCAATGATTCGATACATATCTTATTGTCGGAAGAAGAAGTATTGCGTATAAGTTACTGGTAGACAGAATCGTTTAGAAAATTCATAGTAGTATATCTGTTCGAACGATCGGACGAGATTTAATATTTAATCGGTCGATACGTAAAAGAAACGGCCGTCGAATAAAAATCAAATGTATTCATTACCTTACGTGTGCACTAGCACGCAACCGAACACACATACAATGATAATACGGTTGAGGTAAATATATGTCCTTAAGATAGAAAGAGAGAAAAGACAGGTTGTGTCAATCTATTTTCGTGTGCCGACTAAGTTCAACGTCTGTTTCTCATTAAATTGCGCTCTGACCTCGAATCTCTCTAAATTTGGAACGGTCCTCGTGGATTAGGTACATATTCATTCGTCCCGGCCAGTTTCTGGACGTTTTCAATTTTCTATCGAACAAACAGATATAGATTTAATATAGAAAGTTAGGTAAAAAAAAGAATATTTCTCGGAGATACGGTTAAGGTTTACCGTTATTATCGGGACCAACGTTACAACCATGTGTTACTATACTACTACTACTATTATTACTACTACTACTATTCGGCCATTTTCGATTTGATTTCTTACGTGTACAACGAGATGCGAAAAATATACAAAATTGTTCGATTTATTTTACAGTCCTTTTTTTTTTTTCTTTTACTCGATTTCTGACGGAAATCCGATATCCGCGTTGTATTCGCGTAGGTTTCCTATTTTTGCTTTTCGTTGTTGTTGCTGTTGCTGTTCCTGTTATGTTACTATCGAAGCAAATAACTCGTGATTCAACAAACCGACATCGGTTAACTTTCGATTTGGTGGAATAATCCATTTTCTTTAATTTCCGCGTATCGTTCTCGAATATCGATGTGTATTACCTTCTCTCTTCCATCTTATCGCTCTTCAAATGTTGCTACGTTCGATTACCTAGCCTCACTATCTTTTTCTCGTCGCACGACTTTTATCGTAATTAATACTTTATCTTAATTAACACACTACGCATTATCTATACCAACACGGTTTCTCTTAAATTTTTCTTTCCTTATTTTTTTCTTTTTTTCTTTTCGTCTTTCATTCGATTCAAACATTTTTTCATCTCACGAGTGACGATATCGAGTCACAAGTTTTATCTTTAATCTTATTACTGCACGTTGCATTCCCTGCATCGTTCCTCGGCAAACGTTTATCATCATATTATATCCTGTAACTCTTCTGTGAGATATATTCGATATTGTTTTCTCTTAAAAGTTATCCTTAACGTATTTAGTACGTTTCTAGATAATCTCATTCAGTTCAATGTCAATTCTCAAACATATTTCTCAAGTGTTTCGATTTATCATCCAATCAGTATTATAAGATTACGTCGAGTTTTGTTTAACTTTTCTTTTTTTTTTTTAATTAATTAATTAATACCTTGTTCACACATATACATCTAAACGTCAGCCAACGATGTTTTTAAATTTCTTACAATTTTTGCATGTGTAATATTAATTATGATTGTAGTAAGTATTCTAAGTTCGAATGATCCAAGAAGATCGATAAAGGCCAAATTTTCAATTGTGTGCTAATATAATTGATTGTATTGAAAAACAAAGAAAAATATAAAATATCTATAACTTACCTTCTGTAGTCGGTCTTACAGAGGATCATGCCGCTTCTGGTGTAGCAAGAGTGGCCGAGTTCCGCTAGGGTCGCATTACAGTATGTGCACTTCAAACAGCCATTATGCCAATAGCGATCCATCGCGAGTAACAGCCATCTTTCGACTATCTGACCGCCACAACCCGCGCATAACTGAGTGCTCGTTGGTACACTTGGACCGCCTTCTTGCTGCAGAACAACAAGAAGAAGAAATTTCTTATTACTTTTGGGTGCAGTCATGTAAATTCATAAATTACTCTAACGTTAAACGATATTCTTAATAAGAGATGGAGGAGGAGGAGGAGGAGAAGGAAGAAGAAGAGGAAGAGGAGGAGGAGTTTCGTTTACCGATAAGAAACGAAATTTCATTGCTACGCGTGCACAACCTTCGTTTCGAGAGACAAGTTACACGAGTTTCCAAGTATTTTAATTAAGTTACCTACGTGGGGGACAAAAAATGAGTTTTATCCGAAATATTCGACAGCACGTTTTGCATCGATCTTTGTATCTATGGTTACACATACATACACACACACACACATACAAGTACATTTCTTAAATTTTGGAAGAATCGTTGGATCATCTGAATGAGCACCACTGCGGACGGAGGGAAGGAGGAAGGCTAACGGATGGTTACCCATTCTTCTCGTGTCCAACTACGCAGTGGTACTCCGCACACTTTGGTTAAGACGATACCTACTAACTTTACTCTTTCTAAATTGATCAACCATATTTTTTTTTTCAACCTTCCTTTTACTTTTTTATTATTATTTTTTTCTTTTTTATTTTTAACGCATGCACGACAAACTGGAACCCATCGCGTGGCACCTGCGCGCGAGCGTGCGAGCGAGCGAGCGAGCACAATGCACGATTAAACAACGAGATTACATCTCGGTTAATCGAATATACAATCTGAACGTACGAAATATCTCGTGAAGTTTTATAATATGTTACGAAATTATTCGAAATAAAAAGTGACGTGGTCTTTTTTTTTTATAATCGTCCAACATTATAACAAACAAAATCAGTTAACGTAAATCGAATTACACGTTAGATATCGTAAAGCGCGAAAAAACAAAAACAAAAAGTTATTAAAACTTTCTATAAAAAGCTCGTTTAAAAAAGAATAAATAATGAAATTCATGGAATATAATAGTATAATAGTAGATCGATTGACGAAAATGACGTTGGTAACACAAACACAAACACAAACACACATACACACAGAATGAGAGAAAGAGAGAGAGTTTGTCACGCGGGTCAAGTCTAGCGTGGGTTCGTAAGTAAAACGTGAGAAAGTTCAAGGCGTGCCTCCCTGCCTGCTGCCTTCTTTGCATTAATGCAACCGCCTCTGACAAAAAATGTCCTTGCAGCACACGAAGTTGGTTCAAGCAATAATTTATTAGCCTGGAATGTCTCTTATACCGTCGTCGTCGTCGTCGTCGTTGTCGTCGTCGTCGTCGTCGTCGAGAGAGTATAACGCGCCTTGAGAAACTATTGTCGCCAGCACCAAGTCAATTTCCGTGATGCAACCTTTTCTTTCTCTCTCTCTCTCTCTTTTACTCGTGAACAACGCGCTCTTGTGCGCTCGCTCGCGCGCGCAACAGCGCACAATCTTACTACTCTCTTACTTACTTACTTACTATTTCTCTCTTTCTCTCTCTCTTTCTGTATCTCACTATCTTTGTCTTTCTACTCGTGGTCCCCTGTACGTAACTCGTTCCATCCCGCGCACTTAATTAAGCCTCTTTCGTCGTTGAGATTTTATCGAGACGGCGAAACGAGGCGCTACTAAGTAAAGCTACGAACAATTGCATAAACATAAGATCTCATGGCACCGTTGCGGAAACTTTGGCCTGCGCGACAGGAAAGTGCGCGGTGTGCGCGGTTCACGGCGAGAGTTTAAGAATTTAAGAAATGAAAGAAAATAAGAATAAAAAGACTGAAAGAATAAGAGATTGTGGATATAGAAGCGAGTTTCCGATATATATGTGTGTTACTTATTTTATATTTGAAAATTGTAACTTTAACATGTGTTTCCTTAAATCAATTCTCAATTGGAATAAACAAATTGAAAGGACACATTTTTAAATGTACGAACTTTTTTTTTACTTGTTAGCAGTATTGCTATAGGAATATATAATTGAATTTTCGATTATACGGAAATGAATTACACTTTCGAGAGACTTTCACTTTTATTTATTATATTCTTATTTATTTATTTATTTATTTATTTAATCTCGCATTAATATGAAATATGTTAATTGTGCAGACACAATGTGTCAGGTATATATCAGGTATTATTTGTTGTGCGAGACGACGCACGTTCCTTGAGAGCGTTTTGTCGAGCGTTCACGAGGCCCGCGGGAGAGTCTTATCTCTGAAACCGGTCGAGCCTAACGAAACAAAACGAGGATTTGTGCGGAAAAAGGTCCAATAGAAACGATCCTCCTTCTCCTCCTTCGACCACCAAGTCTTCTCTCTCTCTCTCTCTCTCTCTCTCTCTCTCTCTCTTTCTCTCTCTCTTTCTGTCTCGAGTGCCGTTCGGTACAAAAAGGATCTTTTCTGTCAATTTCATTTTTTACCAAAAATATATTGCTTGTTTTCCTGCCGAGTCTTTGTTTCAAATTAACAATTTTCTAAAAAAAAAAACTTGAAATTGTTTTAGAAAAAGTTTTGAAAAAATAAATCTCGGACCTTTGTATTTTTAATAATTAGCACGGGTGAGTATGGGCAACTTTATCTTCATTTTCGAAACGAACATAAATTTAGTAAAGACGAAAAATGAACGATAGCGTGTAAAGCCCTCTCTCTCTTTCTCTCTCTCTCTCTCTCTCTCTCTCTCTCTCTCTTTAGGTAGTTGTCAGTTTTCTGCCGTCGCTAGACGATCCGCATAGAATATTTGTTCAACAATTAGTATTAAAATAATAATAATTCTTACAATTTTGTCTGCTGGAAAACACTTGATTTGATTCATCCGCGAAGGTATGGCGCTGTAATGATGCGCGTGAACCTCCATGATATCTTCCAAACGATAATTACACGGAAAGAAACAAAAGTAGTTTTGTATTCGTTCGAAACGGTATCAACACAAATTTAAAAGCAACCCAACACGCATTTAAACGCACTCTTTTTGCTTTCCTTCAAATTTTATCTCCACTATTCCGTTGAAACGGTTTCAACAAAGGGCACTCGGCGTTATCGTTTGCACGTATCCTATCCGTGAACTCCGAAGAGGTGTGGTGCACAAAAATAATAATAATAAAGAGAAACTAAAAAAAATTAAAAAAAAAACTAAAAAAAAAGAAATAAAATAAAACGAGAAGAAACTGGACGAGAAACAACACACAAAGAGAGCGAAGAAAAATATCGAAATAATCGCACCGACAGGTGAAACACACCGTGGGTTCGTTCCGTAGGTGTCTTCAAACGTTAACCGTAGAACCTCAGGAATTTCACGGCTGTGAAATATAGGCACTAAAAGGGAAAGAAGATAAACGGAGTTAGGTAACTAGTGTGGAACGGAGTACGGAGAGAGGATGATGATGCCGTAGTGTCTTGGAAAAAAGGAGTTTGTGTTCGTGATATATCCAAGAGTGTCGCGAACAAAGATTGCGAGAGAGAGAGAGAATGAAGGAAGGAAAGAAACCAAGAAGGTACGAACCAGTTCCGACCGAAGTCAGAACTCAACTGACTGGTCTGACGATGCTTTGGGCCCCTCTCTTTCTCTCTCTCTCTCTCTCTCTCTCTCTCTTACACTCTTACACATATATATATATATATATATATATATATATATATATATAACGTGTATATATATATATATATTACACGTACACAAACTCTCTTCTCTGTATTTCTCTCCCTCTTAACAGAATGTAAGAGAGCGTTGGGGCCCTGGGTTCAGGTACCCTGAGAAGGCAAGACGGGCCGGTGTGGTGGGGGGAATAAAAAGGCGAGCCTAGAAAGGACCTAACTAAGGCTGAAAGAGGGGACGGTAACAGCGGTCCGCGGAAGACCGTGGGGTAGAGTGGGGTGAGGTGGGGCGGGGTGGGGAATAAAGGGAAGAGAGAAAGAAAGGAAGAGAGGGGGCACTCTGTAGCCTTCCTTCCCTTGGCATCCCCTCTGCCCTTATTCAATTATGTTTCTCCATGGTAAATGCTCATATTGTTACGTTTGTCAATGGCGAGCTAAGTGAGGATCACATAGACGGATAATGCATCGTGAATTCTAACTTCACGACCCTTCACCTTTATCTATCTTCTTTTTACCTTGTCTTCCTTGACCGTTTTTCTTTCCTCTCTCTCTCTCTATGCGCTTGTCTTTTCTTTCGATATTTTTTTTCTATTTTTTCTTTTCTTTTTTTTTCAAAAAAACTTCCTTGGTTAAATCTCGTGAAGGCACCTGTATAACTGTGTATGCATCATAATATACCTTAGAGAAATTTTTCGTTTCAGGGGTTGTGAACGACGTGGCATGGATCAAGCAAGCAAGCAAGCGATGTGCTGCTGATGGTGTTTATTACTGACTTCGATGGATGTCATGGGAGAAACAACCTAGGGATAGATGTCAGGTGGTCTCCTCACTTTTGTGATACTCTAGGATCAGGAGAAACATTTTGCTATTTAGAGTCGAGGTCAATAAAGTTGATTTCATGAAACTTTAGAATGATATTGCTTGAATATTAATTGGAATATCAAAGTTTTATGGAAACGGTGAACAATTTTTTCTCTTTGTTTCATCCTCAAATAACTGCTTTTAATCAAGAGGTTTTTCTTTTTTTTTTTTTACCCCTTCCCAATATTTTACGTACAAATAAAATTTGTTTTGTAAATTAAATTTTTATTAGGTGTGCAATATTTCGAGTAAAATGGGTTTTTATTATTTCGAAAGTAATTAAACAAATTCGGTATTACATACTGGGAATGATTGAGGAATCGCGTTGTGCTGCGAATAGTTTTTTTTTTTTTTTTTTTTTTTTTTTATGACGATAGAAAGTATCTTTCGCAATAAAGATCCGCACATTGATTATTAAATGGATAGTGCGATACTAGTTTCAAATACTTCCGCTTAAAAGAGACTTTCTCCCATGGTCATTCTCGCGCAACGGATGAACATAGAAAGTAGAGTTTGATCGCATTCAAACGTGAAAACCGTTCGTTGCGTGTTGCGTTATTAACGATAAGAAACCATTCTAAAAATGAACACATCTTTATCTCTATTGTAAAATCTAGACCACGTTAACTTAATTAACTGGACGACAAAAAATATATATATATATATTATTTTCGAGCAAATCTTATCGAAATAACATCGGTAAAAACAACAGATGTACATTTGTCAATGAGTATCCTGACGGTGATCTTAACGAGCGAAACGAAATAATTGCTTTTTCTTGCTTTTAACTACAATTTCAAGCGCGAATACATTATTAAACTAACAAAGTTCTGTGTTGTTATAACGTTGAGAAAATAAGAAGAAAAAGAAGTCTCGTAAAAGAGTTAAATAGAATATACAATGTTTTCTTGAAATGCTTTTATCGGATGATGACATTTATTTTAAAGACCTTAACACAGATAAGTGCTAACGAGACTAATGTTTAAACTTAACTAAGGCACGTGTACTGTCAAGTGTTCTAGATGCAATATACACAATAGCATATACATTTATTATTATCATCATCATCAATATCTATATATCCTTGGTACATAAATAGAATTCAACTGGGTAGATCATCATATTGCACGCGATATTCATTTTGGTTATATAAAACAAGGGTTATCTTACCTTAAGCGTACAGTTGTTATTGTGATTGACTGGTGGGTAAGCAGGATGACCTGGTAGATGGGGATGAGGATGTCCCGGATGGTGCGGATGGTCGGTCATCATACTACCGGCTCCATGATGATGTCCATTGGCACCCATACCTTGGCCAGCTTGTAAAGAGCCATAGGGAGTAGCCGGGTCCGTGGAAACTCCATGGGGTGGTGAATGTGGACTCGGGAGGTCCGGGGTTGTTGTGGTGCCTCCACCACCGCCACCACCACCTCCACCGCCGCCACCATTCGCTCCATAGCCGTGGTGAGGCCCACCGGGCCCTGTATGGTGTGGACTGCTTGACAAAGACGAGTGGTGGGGGTAGGCTGCGGGGTGGCCCGGGTGGTGGGGGTTCATACCAGCGGTTAGAGCGCTCGCCAGCTTGACCGATGAGAGGTGGGCCCAAGGAGCCCACCGACAGCTTGTCACGACGAAAAACAAAAGCTTTTGGGCCCTACCTCTCGCTCTCTTGCTCTCTGTCTCTCTGTTTCTCTCTCTCTCTCTCTCTCTCTCTTTCTTTCGGTTTTCCTTTTTCTTTTGAACTTTTGTTTTATTATTTTATCTTGCTCCCGCCGCTAACCCCTTCGCGGACCTTACTGAGGTCCGACTATACGAAAACCGGTTCTCTTCTTCCGGTTCTCTTGGACTAACTGAAACAAGAAAGATGGTAGTCGTATTAGGAAAAAAATGTTACGTTCTTTTTTCTTTTTGGTTATTTTTCTGTAACAATTATTAATTCGTATAGTATAAATCTTTTACCAATGGGAAATATATCGTGCCAACACATCTATATATATATATATATATATCTCGTTCAAATTTAATTCTTTTTTTTGTTACCCCGTAGGTTTGTGCGACGGATCGTAGGCGTGTCAAGATCAAAGGCCTAATTTTCCGGCTGTTAATTTTGCGCTCGGATCAAAAACTCAAAACGGGAAAAAGGAAAAAAACGGAATCAAAAAAAAGAAACACAAAAAACGAAAAAAAAAAAAAAAAGAAATAAAATAAAATATAAAAGAAGAAAGAAACGAGAGAAAGCTTCTAAAACCATCGGTCAGTGTTAACGGCTGAACGCGCATCTCTTTTTTCCCAATCAAATTCGACCGATCGCGATGATGGGGTTGTAGTTTGGGGTCCGAATGGGGGCTGCAGCAGTGGCGGCGGCAACGGGTGGGTGGGGGGTCGAGGTGGTGGTGGTTGAACTGAATATGTGGATCGAGGATATGGCTCGAGGGGTTGGAGTATAGTGTGGTTGGATGACGGAGTTCGAAAACGAAGCGTCGCATTGTCACGTCGGCGAACAAAGCTCGTTCTAATTACTCTCCTTTATGATCTTTTCCGGCATCCCCATACAGTCGAATTTCCTCGGCCAACGTGGCGGCCCACGTGTGCTTATATTCTACTATTCCTACGTAAAATGATCGCGTTACCTCGTTATACTTCGTTATCGTTCGCAGTGTAACCGTAAGAGACCGTATAACCAAACCCAAGTGCCCCTTTTCCTCTAACGAATTAACGAAATGATGATTCTCGGGAGTACAGAGTAGAATATTATCGGTTCACAGAAAATAGAAAGGAAGTCATTGTTTTGCATCTAGATTTGATGAAAATGGAATTATTGTACAAGAAGAACAAAAAAAAAGAAATGTCCAACGTTTGCGAATAAGTTTTTCTCCTATTTTTTTGTCGAACATTATTATCATTATCATTCTAAAACGTACATTTTCTCGGATTTAGTTGGAACCCTAGAATGATGATAGATTATTGGTTTCAAATCGTACAACGAAGAAAGATCGCAACACGAAATTGTTGCAATCTTTAACGTAAACATCGAAACGTTCTCTTATTCTATCTACAATTCGAATAAACGTATATACATGTAGAACTGCATAGTATATGTAATCGTATTAACTCGTAAAACTTAAAACTGAAGTAAAAAATATGATAGAAAATTTGTAAATACTTGTTCATTTTATACTAGTCACTACGAATGATTACTACACACACACACACACACATATAGATTTTTCTATAAAATATTAACGATAAATTTTTACAGGCTAAAAGAATTATAACGGACAAAGCATCGTTAAGTCTTCGAAGCGAAATGCAAACACATGGAAACTCCATGAAAAGCGGAATTACTCGGCAAGGGACGGACAAAAAGAAACAGAGAGTGTGCGAGAGAGAGAGAGAGAAAAGTGAAACGTATAGAGGAAGGAGGGAGGGGGTTGGAAAGGGCCATTAGAATTCGAGAAACGACCGGGTCCCTTCGTTAAGAAAGCGTGAAACCCGCGTGAATCCCTCTACTAGGACACGCCCAGTTTAATTAACAATAATCGTCCTTTTTTCCCCAGTAAACGCAGCGGGGTCATTCGTTCGTTGTGTGCCCCACGATCGGCATGTTGCGTATCGTCCGAAAACTTGTGCGTGTCTTTTCCTTTAAAGATAACGAGCACCTTATTCTTCTTCTACTTCTTCTCCCTCGGTTTTTTCTCTCTTCCATATATATCTTTCTTTCTTCTTTTTCATTTTTTTTTTTTCTTTTTCCTACCGACACCGGGGCTCTTTATTTCAAACGCCTTGTCAAAAAATACGAGCTACATAACGGTTTTCTCCTTCTCGCTCTCTTACTCTCTTACTCTCTCTCTCTTTCTCTATCTTTATCTCTTTCTTTTATTCTCAAGCTCTATATCTATCCATAACTCGAGAGCGTGCACACATACCACCTGCCAGCTGCTGCTGCTGCATCCAATTAAGCCTCGCAGCGTTATGCGCTAATTTCACTGTTAATTGTTAACCGTTCATTATTAATTACTCGTTCGCCTTATCGGAACATCTGCACGGGCAGGCTTCATTGGACGCCTTTTGCGTTGACAAGAGAGAGACAGAATGAGTGAGCGAAATACGTAGATAAAGTGAAAGAGGGAATGAGAGATAGAGAAAGAGAGCTTATTTTATTACTCATAAATGAATGTATTACGTTGGTAATACTGTCGGTGATACAACGAGGATGGATATTGCAAGAAAAGACCGGAATGGAGAAACAGAGATAGAAACTAAGGTTGTTGGGTACGGTACGGTAGGGTAAAGGGGGCTCAGGGGCTCAGGGGGAAAGGGAAGGCAAAGAGAAGGATATTAATTAGAGAGAGAAATGTATTTTCCGCGTATTAATACCTACCTGTTTTGTTCTTTGCGTCTGAATCATTACGCAGATTGCCGCGTAGCAACGATATTAATCCAGAAGTAGCGGATATTTCATATATAACGAGGCCATGTGCCTGAGTCCGTTATAACCTGTCGCGACGAGAGAGAACACACACATACACATACGTGTCTCGAATCTTGCGCAAAGATCCCTTTTCTTTCAGAATCCAAATGATGGATAATGATGGAACTCTTTTTCTTTCTTTCTTTCTTTCTTTCTTTTCTTCTTCTTCTTCTTTTTTACCCTTTCTTTTTACATTTACACAATATCTACAATAGTAAAAACAGTTAACCTAGTTATTCTTTTAATTAGATTTTTATCTGGATAAGATGTCGGGATTATATTAAATATACGATTTGAATGATGAATAATTCTTAGGATATATATATATATATATATATATATATATATATATATGTATAATTATCTCCAGTCGCCATCTTGAAACGCTACGAGACTGTTACAAATGTATAACAACGGGATTTCTCTCTCTTCCTGAGTAGGAAGGATTAAATGAAAAGAATCTAACAGAATATATATTGTACTAAAGATAGAGAGAGAGAGGGAGAAAAAAAAAAAGCGGCTAGAACAAAAAGTTATTCTTCACATCGACGCGACGATGTATACGACGATGTAAAAAAGAAACAAATAAGTAGGAAACGAAAAAAACGCACGCGCACGCAAGATATCCACGTAATATTCCACACAAAAAAAAAAAATAGAAAAGTCTGCGTAGTGAGCCCCAGAAATTTAATTAGTTTTTAAACAACTAAAAGAAGATTATACGTTTTCATTGAAAAAAAACAAACAAAAAAAAAGAAAAAAAAAGAACGTTCGTTCACAACAAAACAGAGAGATATCTCTTAATCGGTTATCAATAAAGTCCAATAAAAGTTGGCGTTTCCTCGGTACAAATTTCATACCTCGGACACGTTTATTGTTCGTCAATAGCACGATTGAAAAAGAAATAATATCCATAGAGAAAGAGAGAGAGAGAGAGAGAGAGAGAGAGAGATAGAAAGATAGACAGAAAAATACGGAAATAGAGAAGAAGATGAGAGAGAATTCAGCATGGATCCGAACAAATTTACGATCTATGAATCCCCCTGCTGTCCCTCCTCTTCTACCAACCAACCCACCTTCTCTCGATTGCACGAGAATTTCGTGCGAGAGAGCTTTTGCGGAAGTGCGACGGTCGGGCGATAACAAGATGAAAACGAGGGGATACACCGGTAATTACTGAAATGATAATGACGAGGAGAACGACGACGACACTGTTTGCCCCCCCGTTTACCCTGCTACCCTTCTGCCATCCTCTCCTCCTCCTCGTCGTCGTCGTAGTCGTCGTAGTCATAGTCGTCGGCAATGATAGAGAAGGATAACGATATCAGTAGGAAGAAAAGGAGAGAAAGAGAGAGAGAAGGTGAGTAGGGTGAATGAGGGCTGGAGGTGGGGTGGGGGGTGGAGAGAGGCAGAGGAAAGGGGAGAAGATGGGAGGGTTGGGAGGGTTGGGAGGGAGAGCACGATCGGCTGCGATAGGGATAATTAACGATCACAATCGTACGAAAATGAGAACGGGGCGAGTGCGACGGTGACGATAACGAGCGGTCCAGCGATCTTATTAGCGATAAGCGACGATAACGAGGGCGCCTCGTTCCATACGATAACGACGGCGTTCCGGTGCTTGTAACAGTTGGAAAGGAACTCCGTCTAAAGATTGATACCGACGGCCCGGAACTCGTTTTCGATGCTAAACGCTGGTGCTGCCGCTGTTGGTGCTGGTGCTGGTGCTGGTGGTGGTTCAACGTCGTCTTCTTCGACGACTATGCTTCCCTACTGTCCTTCGAATTGCAACGTAATCTTTACTTCTTCTTCTTCTTCTTCTTACTTTTTACTTTTCTTAGTTACTTTTACTTTATTTTTTTTCTTGGTTTCTTATTATTATCTCTTTTGTTCTCTTGTTAAACAAGCACCCGTTCTCATCTAAGAATAAAATGTGTTGTTCTTCTTTCCTCGTTAATTAATTCAACGAATATGTATATGTATATATATATATTTAGTATGAAGTACGATTGATTTAGATTTGATTGTTAGATTTGTTTGCTATTCGATAAGGATCTTGATATGATCGAATGAATCAGGTGATACTTTTATCAGAGTATATACTCGTATGATGATACTTATAAGAGATAGACAACATATATTATTATTATTATGATTGTTCTATCGACTAAAATAAAAAAATCGTCGATGGAAGAAAACACTTTGAATATTACTTTCTATTTATTTGTAATGCATATCAAAAATTCGAGAGATTAATATCTTAAATCTTGATATTATATTATATAATAAATTATCGAAAACCAATTCCATTTTAATGATATAATTACGAATACGTTTGGAATAATAATATAAGTATAAATAGTGTGTTTGGTTAAATAT